TGGCCTTGAAATATGTCCCAATTCAGTATAATGGCATTTCAGATGTAATACTTCCTATTCGATCTAGCATCCTTCTACTCTGACTAATCTTAAACTGTTCAGCATTTGAGGTAATACCCCCAGAAGCTAGAATGTCACTTAAGGGAGAATAACATCTCTTTGCCAGGTAAATCCTATTGATGAACCAGTGAAACAACACGAAATTGCTTTGGGTGGCACCAAACAGAAGTCACACATGTCTTAATGCATGAATTGAGAAGAATCCATAACCTCAAGGTTGAAATTTTGCTATCAGCTAACAGGAATGTCAATTGAAATTTATGGATACTAGATGTCTTTTTCCTCTGAGAGAAGAGGATTGGACAGTCAATGGCATCAACTCCTAACAAGGTAGAAGCAACAAATGACTCTCAATAGTGAGAATTGGGAATCTACTAACCATGTTAGGCTTGTACATAGATTCACAAGCACCATACAAAGATTCAGAAGCAGTACCGGACACGACAAAGTCTTTGGCAAGTTCTCTGCACATAAGAAAACAACCAGGTGAGCACATGAATGCAAGAAAATATCTGTACTAAGGTGAAAAAAGCAGAATATGCGAAGTGCTACAAGGTATGAAGATCATTAAGTTGACCAAGTTCAAAGCATTAATCTGAGACTAGGTTATCATATTTTCGCAAAAAATGATAGTAACACAATTCTGAACTTTGGGAGATTCTAAAATCATGGAATCAGATATTTGACAACCTAGAGAGTAACACCTAGACTTGTTAATATTTATAATCAACTTCAAATTCACATTTTTGTAGTCTAACATATAGAAATTTCAAACTTCAAAACAAGAATTTATGAAGGGAATCAGAAATAAATGTGATTCTGTGAACTAAAGCCCCTCATCATTAGTTAGGAAAAAGAACAGAATCCTTTACCTCAAACTGCTGAGTATTGTTATTACCCTATACATAAAATTCTTGAATTTCTAGGAACTAACTGGCCTACACTTTTTATGTCAGTGTCCTTAAAAAGTAGATCATGCATCACTGTTAGTGTCCCTAAGAAAAAGTAGATCACTCATTGTTATAGGTGGGTGATATCCAAGTATTAACAATGCAGTGATTTGACTGAAGTACTAATTTTAAAAACATGAAAGAACAAAAAATACTACTTTGAAACTATTTACCGATTTAACTCACATTTAAAAAGTAATTACAACAAAAGAGGAGAAGAATAGAAGAATCACATACTTGGCACCAAGGCAGTCCATGGTACAGATGAAGGGCACATCATCATCTCCTAATCCAGCTATTACCGGTTGACAAAAATATGGACCAAATCTATATGAGGAAAATGCACCAGAAGTTGCAAGTCAGTAATAATACTTCTATTTTATAATTTGGAATAAAGCAAAGATGAAATACGTTAGGGAACAAATCAAATAAAACCTTGATGATATAGAAAATAAATCACATAACACTACAATTAATTTCTATTTACATTTTCCAGTAATAATTTACATTAGAAGTATAGTTCAGATGAAATTCATCTAACACAAGAAAGATTTGAATGCAGTCTATTGCAAGAAAAGTGAAGCGACTAAATTGCAGTCTAGTGGACCCCACCAGTCAGTAATAATATTTTTTCTATAATTTGAAATAAACCAAAGATGTAATAATTTAGGGGACAAATCAAATAAAACCTTGAGGACATACCAAAAAAAAATTAGCAGATTACTACAATTAATTTCTATTTATATCTTCCAGTAATAATTTATATTGGAAGTATAATTGCAGATCAATTCAATGTAGTGCAAAAAAGACTTGAATCCAGGACATTTGCATGAACAGCGAAGGGGCTAAATCGCAGTCTAATGCACCGCACCAGCAACAATAAAAAAAAGGTGCTTGCGTGTATTTCTTTTTCTTTTTTTTCCTTCCCTTTGACCAACTTCTTGTTTTGCCTTTGACCAACTTCTTGTTTATCTCCTACCACCTCCCAGAGAATTGCAATGCAATGAAAAGATGCAGCAAAAAATGATGAAATCAAGTCAGACCACATGCAGGAGTTTGGTCCCTCAAACAAATTCTATGCTCTAATAGCAATGTTGTAAAAAGCGGTGAATAGCGGCACTATAGCGCCGCTATTCGCGGAAGCAGTGGTGAACAGCGGATTACCATGCTCGCGGGGTGTCAAGGCGGGGAAAACAACTTTTCACTCGAAAAGCGGCTGATAGCACGTAAATAGCGTTGTTTAGCGCTTAAAAGCGCTTTTAACCGCTAAACAAAGTTATTTATTTTTGTTAATTTTTCTACCCGAACCCGACCCGAACCTAAAACCGATCCGAATGCATAATAACCTCTCTCTCTCCTCTAAATCCCGACCCAAGCCCTAGCCGCCTCTTCTTATCTCTTTCGCCTCTCTCTCTCATCTCCGCCTCCACCTCCAGTCTTTGAAGCCGCCTCCGTCTCCGTCTCCAGTCTTCAAAGCTGCCTCTGTCTCCGTCTCCGCCTCCTCCTGCAGCTATCTCTATTGGGTTTGGCCCGCAACAGAGAAAAATATAATTTACTAATTTTGCAAGCTCGTGCTCACTATCTACACACACCTGGGACTTAATTTGTTTTGCTATCTAAATACTTGCAACATAAATGAACTACACTTCCTTTTCCACTCAAGACCATCCAAAAGTTCACATTTCCTTTTGTTGTCCTCTTTTCCGTTTCAACATAAATAGAGGATTTTCTAACTTAATTAACTATCATGATGCCCTCCTGATTAAGATAATATATTATCAATCAATTTTAATTAATAACATGATACAAATGAATCTAGTCTAGCTAGCTCATTTGGAGGTTAGTACTATCGTCTGGAATGTACATAACTTGGAATATATTAGATAGGAGAAGAAAGATTAGGGTTAAAATATAGGATAACTGGACCGGGATTGAACTAAGCCTGGGGCAAGACAGCAGCTCCAAGATCTACCACTCCACTCAGGGACAATGGTAGATCAATGGAGTAACCAAGATCTTGAAAATTTTATCTATAGTAGTAACTTATAGCAGGTTATGACTTATGATTTTGAACTCGTTATCTATAGTAGTAACTTATAGCAGGTTATGACTTATGATTTTGAACTCGAACTCATAAATATTCATTTATAGTTTATATGCTTAATTATGATTTTGAACTCGAACTCATAAATATTCATTTATAGTTTATATGCTTAATGAAAATGCTTGTGAATCAAAATGCTATATATGCTTTCTGTTTCAATTATTCATTTTCTAAAATTTCATCTCTCAGTTACATATATATTTCATGCTTAGGCATTAAATATGCATTTGCAAAATATTTTATTTTTTATAATTTTTCTTATTATTTAGAATATTTAAATATATTCATATTTGACTGCTATGACTTATGCACTATTTGCCGCTATTTTGTCGCAATAACCCTAAAAAGCCTTAGTGGTAGCTCACCGTAACGTGACGCTATCCGCTATCAGTAACCTTCCTCAACAGTTGTGGCTTTACTACATAACACCATGAGAATTTTATTCTGAGCCTGAGCATGTTTCTTCAATTCATTAAAGTCAAGGTGTGTAAAAGCACAGTCACACAATGCTGCACATAAAAGGCCGACATATGTTCCTTCTGTTAAAAGATTTGAATGATCCAAGGGATGTCTGTTAGAATCAGGCCTTCCACTCGTCTATTGTTCATGTCAAACCAAAACTGCCTAACAAGTCAAATACGCGATCTCCGAATGGTCTTATTGTTAATAAAAGGTCCAAAATTTAAATCTAATTTTCATGATTTTTGAGCTGAAAAAAATCCACCATCAAATTGTATAACTTTATTAGGGCCTCAAATTATGAATCTATTTTGTCCCTCCCTCATCAACAATTACTGCTATACTGCAAAAGAGATATGACATTGAGTGGACTGTGTTCCAGAAGTGCTTGACTAAACTTCCCAAAGTTTAGCCCAAGGAAATAATGTTTTATAGCTGTAACTCATATCTAAATATATTCAATCACTTCATATTTTTAATTTTCAATAATTTCATTTACACATAATTCAACCAACAACGAGGCCTTTATCCCAAATTTTTGGTGTCACCTACATGTCCCTATTCTTCCATTTGGTTCTATTTTGGGTCATCTCCTCCATTAAGTTGATTATAATAATATGCTTAATTGCTTGTACCAAGTTCTTTTAGGCCTATCTCTAGACCTCTTTGCCCCATTAACAATATTCTTTTTCACTTTTCCTTACTGGTGCACTAAGAGACCTTTGTTGTACATGAACCAACCACCTCAACTGATTCTCATTTTATTCTCTTATGAGAGACCTCCAATCTTTTATGGATACATTCATTTCTTATCTTATCTTTTAGTACATACTCACAAGATCATTATAACATTCTCAATTCTATTACACTCTGTTTTTTTGCTCATGTTGTTTTTTAATTACTCACTATTATAATCCATAAAGCATTGTTGGTCATAAAACCGTCCTTTGAAATTTTCTCTTCAATCTCATATACATTCTACGATCATATAAGAGTCCAGAAGCACTCCTTGCTTTTACCCATCTTGACTTGATTTGATGAACATCATTCTTAATCACACCACCATGAGGAATGATTGATCCTATATAAGTAATTATTTTAGGTAATTTTGACCATCAATATGTATATGTACTATAGAATATAGACCCCTTTCTCTTCACATTTTACTAAAATTGCACTCCATATATTTTGTTTTTGCTCTACTAACTCTAGATCCTTTACATTCAAGAGCTCGTCTCCACCTTTCTACTTTGGAAAGTTCAAATATTTTTAAGAGTTAGCTTGATCTTTGTTTCCTACATCTTCGATCACTTCACTTATAGATGTACACGGATCAAGAACTAATGTAACTAATCTATGAATACAATATCACAAATCGGGAAACCACACGCGCATTAAGATATATTCATAAGCCCCTGACCATGAATATATATAGTGATAAATACTTGGGTATTTGTATAAATTTCAAAATAGAGCTATAATTCTGAACTAATTTCCTCTCTTATTGCTCTTGATCATCCCATTATTCCTTCTTCTCTGGAAGCTCCCACTTTCTCCAAATACATTCCTCCTCATACACAGTAACAACAATAAAGCCTTTATAAGAATCCTTGTCATATAATAATCATCATCATCGTAATTCGATTTCCTCCCTCCTCCTTTTCAACATATAAATCTTCTAAGTTTCTACTTATTACCATTCTCCTTGTATGTAAGAACTAATAGTAGTTCCCTGTTAAGAATAAACAATCTTTTCATTTTAATAAACCAAACTTTTCCACAAACTACTCGAGTATTGCTTACTCCAAAATCAAAAGTCTGAACTTCCAATATTATGGTTCACCAGAAACTCTAGAACTGGTCCTGTATGTATCAGTCTTACAGAGAAAATTTCGACGTACTAACCTAGGGCTGTAAAACATAGAGCTTCATATCGTGCCAGGAAGAAAACAATGCCATAATTTCTTTAAACAAGCAGAAATTCATATGACTAACAAGATTTCTTAATATAATCTCTTAAAACTAGAATTTTATCGAAATGATAGTGCAAACTACTTAGAGACAAGACCAAAGTTCGAACCTCTTCTCATAAAGGATAGCCGAAACAAGACTGGCAAACGTCTCTGGCTTCATATTCCTCTCCTCTCTCAGCTGATACAACTTGTGCCGAAACACCAGCCGCTGGTACCTTCACCCCCTCATCAAAACCCCAACCAACTCAGACAAAGTAAAGCACCAAAGTATTTCAAAAAAAATGCGGCATTTTTTCCAGTTTCTTACAGCGTTTGGGCGTCGGTCCCGAGGCCAGAGAGGCCGATGAAGAGCTTATCGTGGATCTTGAAGATCCTTTGGAAATCAGTGGCGATCGTCTGGAGATTGACTCCGAGGCGGCGGTCGCTGGCGATCGCGAAGCAGTTTTTCCCCACCATCGCCACTAGGGCACTTCCGTTGTATTCAAAGATCTGCACGAAATCAAAGGAGTTCGAGAGGTTTGAAGTGAGATTTGTAAAACTAGGGTTAGGGTTTCTGGGAGATGCTTACCGACATGGCGACCGGAGAGAGAGGACGAGGTTGAAGACGCAGGAAAATGGAGAATGAGAAAGAGGGGAGGGAACGAGGGTCGTGGCTTGGGGAATACTTCGACTCGAAGGGGACGATGTAAAGAGGACTAAAGGGTCGGATCCAATCATCCAAACAACTTCCAAACCCGCTTTGGATTGATTGGAGCCCATGGGCTACGGAGAATTCTAATAAAGTCACTGACTTGTGCTATTGAATTCACGGTCGCAAAGGATTTGAATCATCCTCATGTTATTTATGGGATGATCTAGTTGTATTCACTACCTTGCAAATTGAAACAGTTCTATTAAAATATGTTGCTCACTTGCTCTAGTACATGTGTTTCAGTGTTTGGGTCCCGGGCAAAATGGGAAGAAAATTGGACGCGTCTACTCTTTTATACTCATATGAGGATCCAAAGAATCAATATTCATGCTATAGTAAATATTAGCATGACCAGTAAACCAAATCTGTCATCTACGCTTGAAGTCCTGTTAGTGTACAGTAAAATACTATAGCATAACATAAAATATTTTTACTACAGTGTTAACGTTTGGATTCTTCTCTAAATATAGATATAATTTTCTAAATCAAATGTATTAAAGCCTGGATTCTTTTTTTAAGTATAAAGGAGTAAATATGAATTCTACATCAAATGTATTAAAACTTACATCCTTCTTTAAGTATAGAAGAGTAGATATAATTTCTAATTTTAAGCATATAATAATCAAATCAAATACATTAAAACTTAAAGGGAAACAAGGTCAAAATGCAGTGCTTAAAAAAACAACGGGCCGTGCTTTGCACGGGGTGCACACTAGTGTTTACGAATAGGAGTCCTGTCGGAACTCCGCATCATGGTGAGTGTGTTTTTAAGTGTGAAATAGGAACACTGAAAAGTCTAAATTGTCCTCGTATTTGTTGAGATGCGTCGTTCAGAACACTTGACACGGCATGGGCATTCTAATAACCAGTAAGCACTTACCAGACATTATTTGTACCACTTTTGTCAAAACTGTTTTGTCATGTTTATTGAATACATATACTTGAAAATGATCCATAAATAATTTTATAGCATAGTACAAAATTTTAGTTTGATTTTTCATAAAAATAGATGTGTACTCCTCTGAAAACAATCACTCCTTTTTTAATTTAAATAACTGGGCATATTAATCCTCCCAACACTCGGTGTGTTGAAAAGTACTTCTAATGCTTTAGTTTCTGATGATATGCATAAAGGCTTATGCCTGACCAATTCTCTGAAAAGTGTACAGAGAACCAAAATACATGAGTATACAACAAATAAAAATACTGCTGTCATTCCAAATAATCAAGCTTCGAACATTTCTCGCATACTTTATTTGAGCAAATACCTGGTGCTATATCTCAATTTAACAGTATAAAACAGCTCAAAGGAAGAAAAAAAAGCATGATCTGAGCACACAAAAGCACCTCCTGATGCATGAAATAAGACAAAGAGGAAAGATTGCAGTCTTCAAGATTTTTATCTTAATGTAGATTTACGAGGGATGATCTCTGGTAACATTGACATATTCAAGTCCATACATGTCCTAATGTTACAGTCAGTATATTGCGCAAGAATGACAACTATTTCATCCAACATAGAAATCAAGATGATTCATCGCCAAGTGAAGGCAAACACTGGTTACGGTCCAGCTTAGTCCTCTTCTGCTAAATATTGGGAGGCATAACAACACTGGTATAACTCCAATAAGTAATATACGCTAGATAAGCTTCTTTACTGAATTCATCCCTGCGGATAATGGAAAACATTTGAATCTCACAATGGAGAAATGCTGATCTAAATATGGCAACGTGATCCCTTATCATCCTAATGTTTCGCTTTAGGGTCGCAAGTCATAACATAGCACATCAAGCTTTGCGAACAATGACGTGCCTTTCTCGCTTGTACTCCACTTCATCTCTCTGATGCATAATAAGTAGAGCTCTCCTTATCTGAAACATACATGTCAAAAGATTATTACAATCTAATTCAAAGAGAAGCAAAAATTAACTTAAAAGTGTAATTCAAAAAATCCTCACAATAGACTCATTTATTCCCATTCTGCTAAGGTCATCAATTAGACGACGTTCTGATATGTGACTACCGATGCCCATTCTTCTTTTTATGTGTGTTTCAGCTTGCTGACCAAAGGAGGGGAAAAAAACAAAAAGTCGATGAGACATTAAATTGACTGCAAAAGGAAAAAAAATCTGGCGTTAAGAGGACAAGAATCAGGCACAACCTTAATCTCATTTGCAATCTCAGGAGTCAAGTTCAGATGCTCATTGATTCCAGATCGAGCAGCATCCAATGTGGAAACATTGAACAATCTGAATGCCTCTTCAACATGTTCTTGAGTAGCAACAAGAGTCCTGAAACCCAATGCTTATCAATGGACATTTTAAATGATATTTTCTCTGATAGGTAACGTTTACAACATTAAATTCCAAAATTTTGTTCCTACAATCTATAATAAAATGGCAGATAATTTCAGTTGGGACCACAAACTTGGATATAAAAGTTCTAATACAAGTAACTTACAGCCTCATCTTTGCAAGAGACTCACTCAGCCTTATTATAGCTTCGAGCTGCCTCACCGTAATAGGAACTGCAGCAGATCTTCCAGTTTCGTGAGCCTGCTGCCTCATTCTCTACAAGACAAAAGAGGCAAACATACAGAACTGACTAGAATAAAAAATTCAAATCTTCAAGACTCAATTTGTACGTGTATTTTGAACTTGATATTAAGAATTAAAAGTACCTGTCTGATCTCCACATATTTATTCTGCAGCATTTCAGCAGCCTTTTCAGATAGCCTTGGGTGACAGCTACCCCGGCAGTATTTGATGTATCTGAAAACAAAAAGCTAGGAATTACATCCATGTTCCCACTAATTCAAGCCAGGGTGATTCAAGATCTAGAACTCTCTCATTTACCTTTTGAGCCAGTTTTCACTTTCCATACCATCTGAGTTTTTGGAAGCTGCAGCTCCACTGGCATGGACTTTTATAATATGGCTAGCAATTCTCTGCATGCAAAAGTGAGTGTTCATCTTCTGTGACGGCAAAGGAAAAAATCAGAAGAAATCGTTGGTTTATACCTTATCCTGATCGTACAATCGCATATCTTTCACAATGAAGATTAAATCAAATCTAGAAAGAATTGTAGTTTGCAAATCGATGTTATCCTGGGCAGTCTGGAAAAGGAAAGGTTTTTCTTAGCAATTCTTAACTAACATGCTCATGATAAACATGAGACCACACAAAATCACACCACAACTTTTGCTCTCAAACCTTGAGATCATCGTAGCGGCCAGATGGAGGATTAGCTGCTGCAAGCACAGACGTCCTTGAGTTGAGTACTGTAGTTATTCCTGCTTTCGCAATTGAAATAGTTTGCTGCTCCATAGCTTCATGGATGGCAACTCTACAGAAAAGTTGCTGATTACTATGTGTCAAATGGAGAAGGGTTCCAAGAAAACCAGAACAATTTACTATTCTTTACCTGTCTTCAGGTCTCATTTTATCAAATTCATCAATACAGACTACACCTCCATCAGCCAAAACCATGGCCCCACCTTCCAGATAAAATTCACGCTGAAATAAATGTGACCAATCTGACATTAATTTCATGATATACCCTTATAAAGTCTCAGATTTGACCCATAATAATAGACCTGTGGGCATAGTTTAAAGCTGAAAACGAAATAATATCACTAAATGAGATCAATCAAGTCCAGAAACTCACTGAACTGTTGTCACGAATCACAGAAGCAGTGAGACCAGCAGCAGATGAACCTTTGCCGGAAGTATAAACTGCAATAGGAGCTGTCATCTCCACAAACTTGAGGAACTTCAAAATTAAACAAGAAATACTTTATCAGACAATAACTTAACTAACATTTACAAATAAGGGTTTGGCTACATCTGCTGAACAAAGTTCAAAGTATCACTAGTCTGAATAAAGGGTTACATAAACAAGAACCTAAGATAGTTGTTAGGGTACACACCAACAATAACGTCTTAATACACAGAATAAAGGCACAATATTAAACACAGTACTTACAGATATACGTGGTTCACTCCTTCGGAGCTACTCCACGGTGCAACGACGACGTCAAATTCTTTTATATCCCAAAAGAATAGATCAAAGAAAACACCCTCTCTTGATCAGATACACTCCAAGAACTCTCACAAACTCTCTCTGTGTTTTCTCTCTTACTCTTCTATAAGAAGAGTTATTTCTGGGATGATATTTCCTTAAGAGTTTAGGGCCATATTTATAGTGTTTGAGAAAACACTATGCACAAATATAATATTATCAATGGGACCCACCACTAATAATATTTGTGGGACCCGTTAGGACCCGTCACCTTTTTCATTCTTCAAAGAAAACGGCACCGAAATCTCATTTTTCTTTGTGGGGCCCACCTTTGTGGGTCCCCACATTTTGTTTTGTTATACTCCTTTCGTTGGCTAACAATCTCTCACTTGAAGATTTGATTGAGTATCAATCATATCTTCACACCCTTACTCCTTTCGTTGGCTAACAATCTCTCACTTGAAGATTTGATTGAGTATCAATCATATCTTCACACCCTTCTTGGTTGCATCATCCGGATGTCTTGATTTGATTGAGTATCAATCATATCTTCACACCCTTCTTGGTTGCATCATCCGGATGTCTTGTATCTTTGACGTCTTGCACGACCCTTAACATTCTCAACGGAGGCCATATGAGGCTGCACACAGCCTCATCTTCTCGAACAAAACTAGCTTGGTCAACATATCAGCTGGATTGTACCTCGTATCAATTTTCACAAGATTGAACTTGTTCCTGCTTTGTCATCTCCGTATGGCATGATGCTTCACGTCAACATGCTTGGTCCGAGCATGAAATGCGTCGTTCTCTGACAAGTAAATGACACTCTGACTGTCGTAGTGGATGAAATATTTCTCAAAGCTTACTCCAAGCTCGAGAAGAAAAGCCTTCAATCATAACAACTTCTTTGCTGCTTCTGCTACAGACACGTACTCGGCTTCGGTTGTCGACAAAGTAACATTATCCTGTAACTTGGATCTCCAACTTATCGCTCCACCACCTAAGATGAAGATGTAGTCGATCGTGCTCCTTCTTGAGTCTATGTCCCTTGCGTAGTCTGCATCACAAAAGCCCTCTAGCTGTAAATCTGCCCCGCCATACTCAAGACAACGGTCGAACGAGCTTCTCAAGTAGCGTAGAAGCCACTTGACCGCACCCCAGTGTTGTTTCCCTGGATTGCTCATGAAACAGCTCACAACTCCCACTCCTTGTGCAATATCTGGCCTCATGCACACCATCGCATACATCAAACTCCCGACGACAGATGCATATGGTATATTTGCCATGAACTCATGCTCTTCAGCAGTCTCTGATGCTTGGGTTTTCGATAGCTTGAAATGGCTTGTAAACGGCGAGCCCATTGGTTTAGCTTTCTCTATGCCAAACTTTTTAAAAATCTTCTCAATGTAGGCCTTCTGAGACAACCTCAGCCTCTGTGCTGATCTGTCTCTGATGATCCTCATCCCCAGAATCTGATTTGCTGAACCCAAATCCTTCATCTTGAAGCACTCGGAGAGACGCCCCTTGAGTTCTTCAATGCGGGATAAGTCGGGTCATGCAATCAACATGTCAACATAAATCAAAAGTATCACATAAGATTCGTCATATCTCTTGATGAAGCAGCAATGGTTTGTATCGCATTTGAGAAAATCGTTCTCTATAAAATTCTCGAACTTCATGTACCACTGTCGTGGAGCTTACTTCAAGCCATACAAGCTCTTGCGCAGACGACACACGAGACCCTCCCTGCCTCGTTCCTCGAAACCCACTGGTTGATGCATATAGATCTCTTCATCCAAATCTCCATGAAGGAATGTCGTCTTCGCATCCATCTGCTCTAGATGGAGATCTCGAACTGCCACAATGCTCAGTACAGTCCGGATCGTGGTCAACTTGACGACGGGAGCGAAAACATCAGAATAGTCTATCCCTGTTTTCTGCTCATAACCATTCACTACAAGCCTCGCCTTATAGCGTCTCCGTCCATCAGCTTCATCCTTGACCCGATAAATCCACCGATTGTGAAGAGCTTTTCTCTCTCTTTAAAGCTTTACGAGTTCCCAAGTCTCATTCTTCATCAAGGACTTCATTTCTTCCTCCATGACAGACTCCCACTCGCCCCGAGTTTTGCCGGTCTGCTATATCTCCTCATAGCTCTCTGGCTCACCACAGTCAGTCAGGAGAAGATAATTCATGGTAGAAAGGTACCTCTCTAGCACCCTCGAATTTCTTGGAGCTTTACGAATTACGATCAGCAGCTCTGCTAGATCCTGCTGCTGTGTATCCCGCACGTTCTCTTGGTCTCCGTCTTCTATGTTGATTGGTATCTCACCGCCGTTCTCACTGTCAACAATATCTGGGAAAAAAGGGAGAGATAGATGACTCACACTCATCTCTTTGATCTTGTACACCGCATTCTCATGAAACACGACGTCACGACTGTGCACCACGTTACGCATCGTGATCCCAGAAACGATACCCATACTCATCTCTTCCATAGCCGATGAAAGAAAGCTTCTTTGACTTTGGATCAAGTTTTGACCGATTTGCAAGATTGGTCATGACATAGGCGTCACAACCAAATACTCATGCATGAGATTGACTGCACCGTCAGCCCGATCATCCCTTGCTGATGCTGAAACAGAAACTCTGTAGTCCCGTGTAAAGTGACCATTCTTTCCGCATCTGAAGCACTTCCCTTCACCGTAACCATTCGGGTTCGGCCCTTTAGACTTCCCTCTAGATTTCGATTGGTCTCATCATCCCCTACCATTCTTCTGTGCACGCCCTCGTGCCTCAACATGCAGAGCACTCCCACTGCTAGAGGCCTCAGCTCCTAAGACTTTGCGACGAGATTCTTCATCCAGAATTGTCCCAATCACTGTGTCGAGCTTCATCTTGTCATTGCCATTAGCGTTGCTCACCGCCATTACCATATTCTCCCATGAATCTGATAGACAAAAAAGTAGCAGAAAAGCTTGGATCTCATTTGTCGAACTTGAGACCTACTGCAACAAGCTGTTGCACCACAGCCTAAAATTCATTCAAGAAGTCCGCCACGCCAGCTCCTTATTGCATCTTTAGATTGAATAGCTTCTTCATCAGGTACACCTTATTTGAAGCAGACGGCTTCTCATACAACGCCTCCAATGCATCCATCAACTTCTTGGTGGTGGTCGCATGCGAGACGTTGCAAGTCACATGCTGATGAAGGTTGAGTCTGATGATGACAAGTGCTTTACGGTCGAGCACCTTCCAATTATCAACGTCCATCTTCTCAGGTTTTCCCGCCTCTCCTTGGAGGGGTAGGAAAAGATCCTTCTGATACAAATAATCTTCTATTTACATCATCCAATACCTAAAATTTTGGCCGTCGAACTTCTCAATTCGAAGACTGTTGTCTTCAACTGTAGATCTCATTGCGAAAGATTACGTCTTTCACGAAGCGTATTTATGAATAGTACCGTATTCGTGAATAGTATTGTGCGCGTGAATAGTGTCGTACACGTAAATAGTGCTCAATGCCTTAAAAGAGTAAATAATAATCTAACTTATTTTTTAATGTGAAGGATCCACTTTTAGTGACAGCCACACAAAGCATACGATAAGCAGATATATATACTCTAAATCAGGCTCTGATACCAGTTGTTAGGGTACACACCAATAATAACGTCTCGAACAGAGACGTAATACACAGAATAAAGGCATAATATTAAACACAATACTCACAGATATACGTGGCTCACTCCTTCGGAGCTACTCCATGATGCAACGACGACGCTAAATTCTTTTATATCCCAAAAGAATAGATCAAAAAGAACACTCTCTTGATCAGATACATTCCAAGAACTCTCACAAACTCTCTCTGTGTTTTCTCTTACTCTTCTATAAGAGGAATTATTTCTGGAATGAGATTTCCTTAAGAGTTTAGGGTTCTATTTATAGTGTTTGAGAAAACACTATGTACAAATATAATATTATCAGTGAGACCCGACACTAATAATAAAATATTTGTGGGACCCAGTGGGACCCGCCATCTTTTTCATTCTTCAAAGAAAACGGTACCAAAATCTCATTTTTCTTTGTGAGGCCCACTTTTGTGGGCCCCCACATTTTGTTTTGTTATGCTCCTTTCGTTGGCCAACAATAGTCAAATCTACTACAAGAAGTAGCATTATCGTCAAGAACTGAACTACAAGCCGTAATAACATAAGACAAGAACCGCAGATAATTGGAGTTAGATGGACATTGGACCTTTTTATAAAGACAAACGACTAATTTTTGTTTGATTGATATGGAAATGCATTAGGCCCAGTATCAATTTTCACTAAATCCACAAACTTATTTCTGAAACTAGTTGAAAATTTTCACTATATGCTCATTAAGAACAATTTCGACATGATGCCAATTGCCATACCTCTATTTGGACTTTCCATAAGATACATCACTCTTCTCCCTATGCATATCATATGTAGCTAGCAGTTTCCCAATAAATAAGACTCAATAACAATTAGAAATTACTGACCAACCTGTGATTTTGCCGTGGAAGGATCACCCAACAGCAAGACATGGATATCCCCTCTCAGTCTCACACCATCTGGTAAACTCTGTAAATGTGAAAGGGAACAAGTCACTATTATGAGCACTAATTTGGGCTCCAGTGTGAAATTTTGCACCAGTCAGCTGCATGCGTACCTTCTTTGACCCCCCAAATAACAGACAGGCTAAAGCTTTCTTGACATCAGCGTGACCATATATTGATGGTGCCATCATAGAACATATTTTATCATAAGCATCAGGTCTTTGAGCAAATTCTTTAAATTCCAACTCCTGCATAGGACACAAAAGATCAGTAATCTAACAGAATGATACAATATTATCCGTAGCATAATTTCTCCACAGAATGCAAGAACTGACCTCATCTAGTGTGAAGGTGGAAGGTCCACTGGAGTTTGTTTCGCGACCTTGCTCCATCCCTACAACTCTAATGTAAGGTTGTTTAACTCCAACTGCTCCTTTCTGGCTGCAAACAACCAGGATAAAAACTCAACTCCCAAGACAAACAGAATCACAACACAATAAAGGTATTTACTGTTAGTCTAAAGTGAAGACTCAAAGTTGAAGCCGAAGCTGGAATCAAAACGAGGGAGAAAAATCGAGAAAAACATGAGGTTGCTTGCACGGTCGACCGTGACAGTCGACCGCGAACGTGCACAAAAGCTGAGGGAGAAAAATCGAGAAAAACAGGAGGAGGCCTGCACGGTCAACCGTGACAGTCGACCGCGAACGTGCACAAAAGCTGACAAGAAGCTGGAGCTGAAAGCGGTCGACCGCGCCAACCCTGTAGGGATTTTTGGTCTCGGGAATCAGTTCAGTCGACCGTGGCGGTCGACCGCGTCAATACTGTAATGTTTTCTGCTCTCGAGAAAGTGGTTCGGTCGACCGTCGCGGTCGACCGCGATACCTGCGCGGTCGACAGCCACAGTCGACCGCGATGCAGTCAAACAGTTTCCTAAACTGTTTTGGATTCTGTTTCTTTCAGGACTATATATATACCTAAACGTTTTTAGGGCTTGAATACACACGAAAAAAGAGAGTTTTTGACAGCAGAAAAAGAGAGAATCTTAGAGAGATAAAACCCCAGTTTAAGAGCTTGTATTTCTTCTTTAATTAATCAAAAGAATTGTGTGGTGTGGCTCCCGAGGACGTAGGCACGTTGCCGAACCTCGTTAAATCTGTGTGTTCGTCTCCTTTATTATTTCTGCAAGTTTTTTTATTTTTATTTGAGGTGAATTTTCCTACTTTCCTACTTTCAACACAAGGTCCGGAAGGGCAAGGGTTCGATTTAAATTTTTTCGAATCCCCAACATTTACTGGGAAAAAAACAACGAAGATCTTATGAATCATGATTTTTACCATGTGCATAGAATGGAAGTTTAAGCTTTTAAACAGAGAATGTGTTGATTGGTATGTGGGAAACAAGTCTCATGCTAAAGTAATTTATTGTCACCACAAAATAATTCATTTCAACTAGAACCGAACAATTAAGACTAAAGAGAAATCCATAAACAAGGATATTCTTACGATGCAGAAGCTTGGAAAACACTATAAATCCCCATAACTGTCAATCTCGTGCCTGGAACAATAGTTTGAACCAAGTGTCGATCTACCGAGAGAAGAATATTCCTAGGTAACTCCCCAGTTGGAACATCCTGTAAACCAAATACACTATCTCAATTCTCTTATCAAAATAAATAAATAAACAAGTTCAGCATATGATTAAAAAATACCTCTGGATTTTCCTGCAATTTGAGTGTCTGGAGATCAACATACTTGCTCTTATCAGGAGCCACAATCCAAGGATCTAAAGGGCAAGACTCTTCACCAGCCTATAGAAACAAAACCAACATGGAAAAATTAAGAAACCCTATAACACTGGATAAGAAAACTTGGGAGAGAGAAATTCCAACAAATAAAACCTGAGGAACATGGTCACAAGATCTCGGAACAATTGCACCTCCAAGCCCAGGCCTGCAAGCTACCGTCTTGATGCTCTTACAATTCTTGCACATCAAAGTCACATAAGTTGCCTTTGCCTTGACTCTAGAAGCAGCAATAGTAATCCCAGCAATCTTTACAAGCTTTGACATATACTCTGCCTAAAAACCTCAAATTTCTAATCTCCATCAAGTAATGCAAAAAAAGACAACGAATTGAGAATTACAGAGATCTAGAGTACCAACCCCAATAGATCGCATAGAAACTGAATTCTCTTTAGAGGATAAAAAAATTTGCACATCTCCCGTGTCGGGTTCCTCCATTTCACCCGTCTCGTTGGCCACCTTCGATCTGAGACTTGCAAGAACCTCGGCTGCTGCAGTTTCAAACTATAAATGCAAAAAATGAGACGCAGGTTCTAAAAACCCTAAAGTTGTGAAAATTTGGGGGAAATGGTGCCTGATCAAACAATAGGTATCAAACAACCAGGAAATGAGGTAACGAAACGTCCATATCGGAAAAAGGAATTGCCTTTTGAAACCCTAAGATACAAAAACCCTAGATCCTTACCATGGGCAAGTAATCAGCAGGGAGCTTTCGGAGCTTATCAGAGAGATCGGCATCAAAGGCATCGAGATCTTCCATGGCTACAGTGAGATGCTCAGGATTGTGAACGAGACTCTCGCTACAAAAAATAAAAAGAAGAAATCGAAGCCATAGGAATTAGGGCAGAGAAAAAAGAGGAGGGGGAAGGAGGACGGAGGGTAAGGTTACCGACCGGTAAGGGAAATCTCCCTTGTGGCCGGAGAAGCTGCGGATGAACTCCTTGAACTTGCGGCTACCGGTGTCGGGATCTCCGCCGCCGCGGGGGAACTGGGCCTGATCGCTGTAGAACACCGCTCCCTCATCCCATCCTGACATTCTGAGCTTTTCTCTCTCTCTCTCTCTCTCTCTCTCTCTAGCTTCGTCTCCGTGGATCTCTGATGACGATCGATCGATGATGAAGAAAGATGAGACTTTTTGTTTTTGCCTCCTTAAGACGCGTTTTGGCGGGAAGGAAGATAGTTTTAGCGGGAAAACAGTGAGAGGGTCCGCCGTTGTGAACAGGCCCAATGCCAGAGGTTACGTCCGTTGTGAACAGGCCCAATTCCAGAACTTACGGTAGGCCCATGGGCATCAGTTCCACATCTCTCGCTTTTTTTATCCCTTTTGGAATAGCAGAAAATAAGAAGAAAACAAATTCAGAAAAAATACTTTCATAGCAAACATAAAGTATTGCGATTTGTGAATGAGAATATTCTGTTCCATAATACAGTAGACAAAAGAGAGGAAAGAAGCACGGGATGACCTGTAGTTAGTTGGACAGGTGGCAAATAATAATTGGTCGGAGTTGTAAATGACCTGAGAGTTTGATGGTAAGGGACTGTTTGGTTCATTTCTTAGAAACCCAAGTTTGAGAGATTACTCATGGGAAATAGGTTGTGTGACACATTTTCATATTTTCAAACGCATTTCATGACTTTTTGGGAGGAAATGAGTTTCCTTAGATTTAGGACCTATAACACTATTATCTTACTAGTGGGTAGGTCCTACATGTATATCATTTCTTTTTTTTTTCCTCTCAACCAAACAAAAGAAAAGAAAATCAAACACCTTCACATGGGTGTGTTGGATGTTTTGATATCCTTTTCTTAGTTTCTCAGCCAACCAAACAGCCCCAAACAAGAACCTTTTTTTATCGTACGGCTCAAACACAGCCGGAATCATATCAAAAGTCAAGCAGATCAACCATTTCAGAATCATATCAGATGATGGCCGAGCAGATCTGAATCATTTCAGAACTCTTTGTATGAGTGGGGAGTTCT